AAAATTGAGATGAGCGACTTATGCTTTACTCAGGAGAAAAAATTTCATAAAGTAATGGAAATAGTTCACAAGAAACTGGAAGCAGGAAGTGGAGTTATCAAAGACTTCCGGTGCTAAGTTTGAGGAAGCGAATAAGACTCTTGCAAGAACAAGAAAAAAATTAGCAAAGTTTCTATAGCACAAGCAAGAACCCTATAGGAAATTTTACTTATAAAAATTAGAAGATCTGACAAATCTGACAATTACTATTTTTTTTCTCACTGAAATCCCCTAAAGAGAAATAGAAAGCTAAATTTTTTCTTTTTTAGTTTTAAAATTTCTGCAACGAAGTTGTTGAACATAGAATTAAAAATATCTTTCAGAGTAATACCAGATATTTTCCATCTCCAGTAAAAAAAATTATCTTTCCATTTAATTTAAAATTTAATTCCTTTGTTGTCAGATAATAATTATAATTTTTATAATAATATTTAAAGAAATCTTTTTTAAAAATTTTTAATTAAATTGTATCTATTCTACCGAGAATCGTTGAAATGCATAATTTTAATTATCTTCATTCTGCTTCGCTTAATTCAGACATCAGTTTCAAAATTATATATATATATATATTGCACATAAAACATCACTAAATAAATAAAAAATTAAAAGTAGTTTCATTTAATATCAAAAACTAAATAGCAGAGATAATTGTTTCATTAATAAAAAAAAATTTCTACTGTACGAAAATAAATTTTTTCTATTAATGCACAAAAGTATTTTAATACATAAAAAGTTTTCCAGTAAAATGCACAGGAAAAAAAAACTTTTTCCGCAAATGAGTAAATCGGTTTATTAGCGGAAAGAATATGAAACTATTTTTTTGATAAATAACAAGAAACTTGTCTCGTTAAAATTGCGACACAAAATCGCAGTCTCAACAGAAGAATTTTTTTTTCTTCACTAAAACTTCTCTTTTGTCAAGAATTATGGTCTTTTGCAGAATATATTATACATACACGTACATATGCGAAAAAAAATATTTTTCTGCTTTTTATATGTGAAACTACAAAAGACAAAAAAAAGAGCGCATAAAAATCAATTTCGTTTCTGTTTGAATACGGGAGAAGAAAGAATACATTCAAGCATCTTTTATAGGGATATTTGAGAAATTTATTTTTATAAGTTTACATAAAAGTTATAAATATTAAAATATTTAATATCTAACGATATTTCAAAGTTAATATTAATTATCACCTAAAAAATATTTTTTTAGGTGATTTAGATAATTTTTCGACAAATAACCCCTATAATAATAAAGATGAATCTGAAAATGTGCGCATTTTCTTAAGTGCGAGTAATCAAATTTTCTAAATTTAAGGAAGAATTCCACAAAAGGATGTACATATATTAAATAAAATATTTAAAAGAAACAATATTGTTGAAATTTTAATTATTAATTATTTAATAGTAATTGATAATTAATTAAATTTTTTAATAATTAATTAGAAATAATAATTACTACCCAAAAAGTATATAAAACGAAGAAAAAGGACGAAAATCATCAGTTTATTAATCCTTTTTGTTTGTCTTATTAATGTTGAAAATTGCCAAGGGACATATTTAAATAAATATTTTTATTTTTTATTAATAGTAAATATTTTATATAATAATAATAATAATAGTAATTAATTAATTAAGTTAATATGTGTAGTTTTATATATATAAATATATTAATAAATATATGTATATAATATCTATATAATATGTATACTATATATGTATATCCTTATAGAAATCTTCCTCAAAGGATAGTTCCTTTGAGCTCTAACAATGCGTGTTTAGGGGGGTCACTTTAATATACCCATTGGCTCAATATTTCATCTCAAATTGTGATTTCTCATTTTTCATCTTTCTCTCTTTTCATAAAAATTTTAAATTAGCCTCTAGTTACATACTTTTATTTCAAATAATTAAAAAAAATTTCCACTATTTCTCACTTTTTATTATTATAGAGAGCAGATATAATTTATTTTTGAAAAACTATAATTATTTTTAAAAAAATTTTTTTTGACTTCGAACCAAATTTATAAAAAATATTTTCTTTATTTTTATACGTATATATCAGTTTTAATTAAAAAAAGAAATAAAAAGATTTGAAAGAAATGAAAGTTGGCAAATGTCGAATAAATAAAGTTTTTTTCTTTTTGAAAGTTATAATAAGTCCGCACAAAAGATGAAAATCAACATAATGATTATGTTCTGAAATGGTTAATTTTCCTTCAATTAGATTAAAGATTAAAAAAGAACACAAACAAAATGTCATGTAGAAAGTGTTTTATTTTCCTTTTTATATTTAATAAAAATGACCTTCGTACGTTTAATATTTTATAAATACCTGTATTGTAATTTATTAAAAAAAATTTGCATTATTTTAAATTCGAAACTATTATTTTAATTCAAAAAATACCTGAGTTTGAAAATTATTGTTCTTTTTATTTTTTAGTTGAAAGCGCAAAAGAAATTTTAAATTTTAATTTATAAATATAAGAAAATATATATGTATATGCTTTTCAGTGAAGAGTAAAGTTTAGTATATAAGCTTTGTTGAAAAAAATTTTCTAAACCAAGTTTTTATTTCGTAAATGTTTTAAAACTCGGACATAATAAACTATTCTTAAATAGAATTATTTATTACTTTTAATTAAATTATTTATTACTTTTTAAAAACTTTTACTTTTTTCAAGCTTTTATGTATACAAATATATATGTTTTTCTTGTACGTTACTTTAATGAATATAATAGAAATTTTATTCTCCTTTTTCAAATTAATATATTGCGATTCTGATATTTTCTAATTTAAATAAGTAAAGAAATTTTTAATAATTTAAAAAATATATAAAGAGAATTTTAAAAATTATTAATGACTCCAAGTTGGAAATGCATTAAAAATTTAGTTTTAACATAATGGTACGAAAGTGGTTCAGCAAGAGAAGATTCTGGCAAAGTATATGCTTGTCTTGTAAAGTATGGACAAAGCTTAGAATCAATTTTCGGGAAATTTTTTAGCCTTTTTGAAAAAATCGTCTTTTTCTCAAAAAATGGGAAGAGTTTGGAGAAAAAAATGGACAACAGTTTGAAAATTTTTTGAGTTTTTGTATCAAATTTCTTTTAATTTTGGTAAGATAAAAATTTTAAAATAAAAATGTAAAATAAAAATGAAAAAAAAATTATCATATAATGAAAAAAAAGTAAAAAATTTCTTAAAAATTGATTCTATCCCTTGCCCTTACTTTGTCAGAGTCTTCCCCTAATTCGTAAAATGTATAAAATTTGATAGAAAAGTTGAAAAATTCTCAAAAATTGATTCAAACCATTGTCCATACTTTACCAGACTCTTCCCATATTTCAGAAAATTAATAATATTGAATGGAAAAATAAATTATTTTGGAAAAATTGAGTCTAGTCGTGGCCCATACTTTGCCAGATTTTCCCATAATTAATTGTTTATATTTCAAAAAGTACTTAACGTATTGAAATTTCCTTAAATATATATCGAGATTCTAACCCAATTTATTAAATTCCATAGTATTTTACAAAACTTTTAAGTTGTTTAGTCTCTACGTTTGTCTAAATATTTAAAAATCAAATTTTTATTGAGAAATATCAAAATATTTCAAAAAATACTTAACCTATTGAAATTTCCTGAAATGTATATATCGAGATTTTAACCCAATTAATAATATTCCAGAGTATCTTGCAAATTCATTTAGTAGTTTAGGCTCTAGATTTGATTGTAGGACACTTTTCCCAAAACAGATTTCCTAACGATCTAAATGTTAAAAAGAAAAAAAAAAAAAAAAGAATTAAAAAAAAATAAAGAAAATTTAATTAAAATTAAAATTTTAATTATTTAATTATTTTTTAATTATTTAATTTAATTTTAAGAATTAAAAAAAATTTTTTTCTTTTGACCTATTGCATATTATTGCAAATCCTTGCGAGAAGTTGTTTCGAATGGTAAAATATGCATGGAAAAAAAGGTTCGTTAAAAAATATAAAAAACTGTAAGAGAAGATCGATTTTTAATATTCAAATCTTTAAATTTTGACGAAATTTCGAAAGCCTTAAATCTTTAATTTTTTTCCAAATTGTATATATTTACGTCATTTGATGTTACTATTCAAAAAAACATTGTTAAAATTGACATTTAGTTCATTTTCGTGGTAAAAATCATAAAAATCATAGTCCGAAGCTTTTATGGTATACTATTTATATATACCGAAATAAATGTAAAAAGCCATGATTTTTATAGTTTTTACCATGAAAATGAGCTAATTGTCAATTCTAACGATGTTTTTTCGGCTCAGAGCATTAAATTGGAAAAAAAGAAAGGTTCAGAACTTCCGAAATTTCGGCAAAATTTAAAGATTTGAATATTAAAAATCGATCTTCTCTTACAGTTTTTAATATTTTTAAACGAAAATTTTTTCCCATGCATATTTTACCATTCTAAACAACTTCTCGCAAGGATTTGCAATAGTATGCAATAGGTCAAAAAAAAAAAAATTCTAACCTCTTCAAAAATTAAAATTAAATATTTTTGACCATCTTATATGTTTCAGGTTAAAAATGATGCAAGAAAAAAATATAACCTCGTTTAATAATTTTATTTTAAAGCGGTTAAAATAAAGGTGGGGTCTCCCTTTAAATTCAAATCAAAATTATTGAATAAACTTAACAGAATTTATCTGTAAACAGTCGATAGTTTTAGAATATCTATTCGCGATTTTTTACTTTTTACTTGGCGGCGATTATCTACCGTGAATCTTGATCTGAACTTAGGTGTACACTTTCTGTTGTTTATTCTACGTTAAATTATTTAGAGCTGTTAAAATGAGGATCAACAAATTTTTAATGTTGAGCTGTTTTTCTATTTGTTTTCGAAAAAAGGGTAATAAATTTTTCTTTCTGTGAGCCAATGGATACAGAAAGAGTGAGTAAATCCCATAATGCATTAATACCTTGATGATGGCACTTTTTGTGATTGGGATGTGCTTGGCAGTTAAGATGATGCTCCTGTGAATAATGATGATGATGCTGCTGGCCATATTGTGATTGTTGATTAATCGGCGATTTAAGGACACTGAGCACAAGATCTTCATGCGAAGGGACGATGCGCGTTAATTGTCGACTTTGACGGAACAGGGTCTCCTGTTCACCACGATTCATCCTGAAATCGAGGCGACGATTGTGAAGATAAAATTTTGGATACCACTCACGTCTGCCTTGTTCAGGAGCACTACCTAGCATAACAGCCTGCAGCATTCCGAATAATTTTTTCGCGTCGCCAATCTATTGAGGCCCAATATTATTTTATTCACAATTTTTTCTAACGATCTGTCAACATTTATCCGAATGTCCATGATCGTGCATTCGGCTTTATTGTTAACAAATCGTTCTGATAAAAAAATTCTTCTCATCAAGTATTTATGGAAATGCATTGAAACACTTTTTTTAAACTCCGTTCGCGATTTTCCACTAATTCTCTCTTTTTCTTCCTCTCCACTACACTCTTGTTTCGACACTTCTTCTTCTCCTCCTTCCAATCGGTTCCACTTTTTATAATCTTCTCACTATTTTTCTCCTTCATAGGAAACAATTTTTTTCACTCCCTCAATTCTTTTTCGGACATTTTTCAAAATTAGACCCTTTCTTGATGATGGTGAGTCCCCTTTTGATAAGTTTTGCAAACGAAAACTGTAATTTGACACTGTTTTGGAAAAATACTGTTTTGAAAAGAGTAAAAGAAAAAATTGATGAACTTGTAGAAAACTGACTTCTATTTCTTCTGTTGATTTGAATTTTGAGACGGTTCTATTAATTTTTTCACTTGTGATAAAAATACGTTGAAGAAATTCTTTCTTCAATCTAATTAATTTTTTTTTGTTTGGAGAATAAATGAACAGCTTCTAAAATATGTGATCGATGACTGGTCATTTTTCTTTAATACAGAAAAGAATAATTTACAATAGAAATCAATTCTTTAGGATCATATTTTATTTCTGAAAACTTTGTTCAAAAAGTTTTAACATTTTTATTTTCTTTAAATTTTCACTGTTCTCTTAAAAATTTAAATGTTTCATGTTGGATATTCTCTCTCTTGTTTTTCCTTTTCTGAAATTTTTACGAATCACTATAAACTTCAAGGATTTCTTGAAAATAACATTCTTTTAAGAGTGTTGAAAATTTTTTGCATTAAAAAGCATCCACCGAATAGAAGACGAATCTCACCTGAGTATTTTCTTGAACAAATCACAACCCACAATTTTACGCGGTAATCTCGACGACCTCGATTGCATTCTCGAGGAGTGGCGTTGATGATATAAACGGGAAAATTTCATCTATGAACCGATTTTCCCAAACATTGTAATCTTTAGTTTGATATTTTTTTCCCGAATTAAATGCACTTTAATTATTCTTTTTTTTCTGGGGAAAAAAGAATAAATTATCTGAGTATTATATTTAGTGGAAAATTAATCATGTTTGGACAAAAATTTCTGATACCAAATATAATTTCTGATACCAAATAAAATATTTGATAGCAAATAAAAATTTGGATAGTATAAATAAAAATTGTGGTACCAAATAAAAATTCGATACCTATTTGTTAAAACTTTTGATAATTCTATTCGGTTGTAAATGATCTTGACAATTTTCAAGTGGTAACTGTCTGCAAAATAATTTTTCTTATTCTCAAAATTTTTTCACACCATTACTTGTGGTTCTAATCAGAAAAAGTAAATTATTCTTCTTATTATGCTTCTTTACTTCCTCTTCCTCTTCCTCTTTTTACTTCTCCTATTAAAAATTGTTTCCACACTCCTTTTTCTTCAGTTGACAATGATTGGTGACGTTTCTCAAAAAAAAAAAATTCTAAATTTTTAATACTTCTTTTTGCGCCCTCTTCCTCAATTTTTTGATCCTTTCGTGTTATTTGTTCTCCAATTTAAAAATCCTCGTTCCTGAAAATATTCTCTTTTAATTAAAAATACGATCCTTAATGTTTATTTGCAATGGTACCTTCTTCTTCTTCTTAAGAAACTTTTTAAACTTCTTTGAAAACTCTGATACTTTTTGGTTCGATTTTCAAACAGTTGCGTTGATAACAGAAGTATCTAATGTAGAAAAGATGACTTTACGAACTATCCATAAATTTTTAGCAAAAGAAGTTTTAATTTTTGCTAAATTTAATTTTATTTGCAAATATTTTCAAAAAATTAAAAAGATTTTGTTTTTTTAAAAATAAAGGAAAAAAATGCAATCACAATAATATAAGAATGAGAGAAAAAGGATTGAGGGAGTGTTGAAAGTTGAGAGAGAAAAAAATTGTCAATTGGACTTGATTCGTTGCTTTGACCTTGAGATGGACACAAACTATTTTATTTTATTTTTTTTTTAATGACGAGTACAATTCGGAAGGAATTTGAATGAAGCGCGAAGGTCGAACAACCCTTACTGAACGACAGCCCGCAACCAACTGTAGCTCTTGGCCATCCATTGCTAGTTCAACTTTTCACCACACTCGTGTGCTCTGCTTTCTCAAGCGCGTCTATTTAACGATCACGAATTTTAGGGAATTTTTTTTATTTAGGAACAGTTTTTTTTTATAAAAATAACTTTTTTTTAGGGGGGCAAAACTTTTTCTCCCAATATACATTATAAATGATTATAAAAATAATAAGATGATGGTCAGTCCATAGTTTTTCACCGAAAGTCGTTGAGGTCTATTTTTAGAAAAATCTCATAATTTCTAGAAATAATGTTTAAAGTAATAATTCTAGCCTTTGCCCATATACTTTGGCATAGAATCTTCCTCTAGTTCAGAAAATATTTAAAATTTGATAAAAAAAAATTTTTAAATTCCCCAAAATTGATTATATCCGTTGTTTATACTTTGACAGAATTTTTCCATATTTCAGAAAATTAATAAAATTGAATAGAAAAGTAAAATATTTCGGTAAATCAGGGTTGCCACAAAAATTAAATCTTAACTTTATTATATTAATTTTTGTAAAAAAATTTCGAAGAAACTCTTCTCTGTTTTTAGTCCTGAAGATGGGTCGGTACCGACCCATCTTTTGGTACGTCAACACTTTTGTTAATAAAAAAGTTTTTTAAATAAAAAAAGTAAATTTTTACTTTTCTAAAAAAAGAACACCGACCGATAAGCCTTTTACTCAAAATTCAAAATACATAAATAACTTGTTTTTTAAATAAATATTTATAATCATTATTATTTTTTCAAAAGGAATTAAAATTTTCAAAATATTCAAATTCAAACCTTTATAAAATATGAAGAAATCTACTCGGAGTGATCGATATCTTCTTGTTTTATAATAATTAAAGATGACAGAATCATTATTTTATCCTATTAAAAGAATATCATTACTGTAACTTCTTCAAAAATATTTTCATCATTTCAATTCAATTATTATTTTCTAGAATTTTCAACTATAATTCTTCTTCAAATCAATTATTTTTAATAATTTTTCAAAAAATTCTTTGAAAATTTTCAAATTCATGTTTACAATTCAATTTTATGAAATTTCGATTATTGATTATTATTTAAATATATATTAGAAAATAAAAACTTTAAATAGTTTCAAAAAAAAAATTATACTTATTTTTCAAAAAAATTAGTTCTATAAAATCAATAAATAAAATTATGAAACCTTTTCAAAATTCAATTATTTCTAAAAATTCACGCTTATAAAGCTTTTAATATTCAATTATTATTATCTAAAATTTTTAACTAAAAATTTATTTTAATTTATAAATAAATTTTTATTCGAAAATTCTACGAGACTTCAATTATTTGAATAAGAAAATAAATAATTTATTAAATAATTGAATGTTTCTCAAAAAATTGAATTTTAATAAAGAATTTTATTAAAAAAAATTTTAAATATTAAATTCTTTTGACGAATTTTAATACAATTTTTAAGAATAATTTCATTTTTCTAAAAATTCGATTAAAATAATTGTATTAAAAATAATTGAAATCTTTTAAAGAATTTGATGTGTGTCTTAAATATTTTAATTATTGCAAAGAAATTTATAAAAAAATTTTGTAGAGAATTGAATTTCTGTGAAATTTTTATTATTTATTTATTTTATTTTTTTTGGTTTTTAATTAAAATTCCTTTATAAATTCATTATTTTTAATAAACTAATTCAATATTTATGTAATTATGTATATAATTAATAATTATAATTATTTTTATTTTATAATTAATTCAAAATTGTAATGACAAATAGAAATGATCAGAATTTTTTTTTAACTTTTTTTCATTGAAAGACTAAAATTTTGTTAAATATTATTTTTTATGTCAAACTGAAATTATGCAGATTTTTGTTCTTTACTTCTAAACAAAATGAAAACATTGTTATACAACTGTGATTAAGAAATAGAAAATTTATTTATTTTGCATTATTTTTGTTTATAAACTACAATTTTTTTTAAACAAAATTATTATTTTGTTTTAGAAAGAGAAGAATAATATTTGCACCATTTCTATTTTTAATCTTATTTTTGGAACAGGATTTTCCACAGGAATTAAGACATTTAAAAATTTTAAATTCAAACGTTTTTTAAGTTAAACAACTTATATAATAATTAAAGATTACCAAGTAATAAAATCATTATTTTATATTAGAAGAATATTGTTACTGAATCTTTATCAAAATTATTTTCATCATTTTAATTCAATTTAATTTTTTTTTTTTTAATTTTTAATTCAATTTTAAATTATTTTTTTTTTAAATAATTGAATTCTTTAAAAAAATTTTATTATTTATAAAAATAATTGAATCTGTAAAATTTTTATTATTTATGAAAATAATTAAATGTTTGCATAAAATTTTATTAAAATTTTTTTAAAATAATTGAATTCTTTTTGGGAAATTTTATTAAAATAGTAGATATTGAAAATAATTGAAATTAGAAAAATTTTTGAAAATAATTGAATAATTAGGACAATAATTGTTTCTTGGAAATTTATGAAAAAAGTTGAACTTTGGTGAAGAATTTTGTTATTTATATAGATAATTGGGATTTTTACGAGATTTTTTTTCAAATTTTAAACATAGTTGAATTTTATAAGAAGAATTTTATTTTTTTTTTTTGAAAATAATTGAATTTCTGCAATTATTTGTAATTTCACCAAAATTGAATTTTTTTTTATTGTTTTCAACAAAAATTTAAATTAGAAAATTCTTAAATTCTATTATTTTTAAAATTGCTAATTTTATTTTCAAAAAAAGTTAGTAGGAAGTTAGTCGCGCACTTTAGAGTATGAATTGTTGCTAGTTTTAAATTAAAACCTTTTGAAGTTCAACTATTTATGAAAATTGTAAACGCAACTCTTATAAAATTCAATTTTTTAAAAATATTTAAGTTAAATTATTTATTAAATAATTTTTGAGTAATAATTTTATATTAAAATTCAGAATTTTCTTATGAATTCTAGAAATTGAATATATTTTTAATACAAAAAAACGCAATAGCTTTAGAAGACAACAATTTTTTAGGAGTTGCGTGGCAACTCTGACTTTGCATGATTTTTTTCATAATTTGTTATTAATAATTAATTATTAATTGTCATTAATAAATAGAAAATAAATTAAATAATTGTAAAGTGACCATTTTGGGATAAAAAAAAATCTCAAGAAACTTTGATTTTTGATTTTCATCCCTTGTTATCTTCTCACTCTGCAAATATGTAATTTAATGGCACAAGTTTTGCGACGAAAGGTTACACGGAATGATAAGAGTTTTAGAGTCGTTACATAGTTTTAGGCTTATCATTCAGACTTTCGTAATAAATGAGTTATAAGCTCATAATATATACAGCTATAACAAGTACG